GTTGCATGAAAAACCTAACACTTATGTTTTTCCTTTTTTTTACTTAAGTTAAAGTAAATGCATAACAAAGTAAACTACATTTTAAACAACATCTTTTTCATGAATTGAAAATTAGATATTTTACAATTAAAAACGCTTTATTTTCAAAGCATATGTCGCTGCTGTTTCAGTTGCCTTTGTTTTGAAGGAATTCAATTTGGCAACATTTGTTATCAAATGCGGTTGCTGTCTAAAATACAATGCTGGATTGAAAAAAAAAACAAGAACAAAAAAGCCGGCGTTCTCTTTTGAAAAATATCGTTTTTCTATCCGTTCGTACGGCTTGTTTATACGGCCTAATTTTGTTTGAAAAAATTTCCAACATAAGTTCATCTTGGCTCAAATTTTATGCAAATCGAATTTTGAAATTAATGAATTAATTTTAGTTAATTTCAATTATTTGATTCCTCATCATCATGGATTCGTGTGTCTATTACTATTCTTATGGTACAAAGTAAGTGAAGTCAAATTTATCATAGCTCGTTTCATTTTTTGTAATTACTGTTCTTACTTTCAACCGAAGTAATTAAATATTTACTCGATGTGATTTTTCTGCAAACCAATTTTGACACTTTTCCGACTGTCTATTGGCTCTGTTGTGATCTTGACCAGCAATGACTTCAAAATAAATGCATCAACGCAAGCTTATTTATTTAATTTTTGCGTTGATAGACGCAGAAGGTATCACTTTCTTATTGATATTTTTTGAAGAAACTTTCGAAAAAAAATATTCTCTCGAATAGTTTTATTTTGTTTTCATCAAAAGTACTTCAAGTACCTTAAACGGCAGACTTAACATTCAAGGCGACGTTCTGGCGCAATCAGTTTTGTTTTTTCTCTCCACATTGAAATTCGCCACATAAGAAGAATCCATACAATTATCAGTATAGATTAGTTCCAGTAAAGCTTGAGAATTTTGTCACTATAAGTAACAAGGTATGTGGTGAAATCATCAAGACTGGTTGCACCAGAACAAAACTTTGTTCAGACTCCTTTCCGAGCTATCTGCAGTAGTCTTCTCTCTACATCCAAAAAAATTTATTTGAAAAACTTGGAATGTTTGGAATATTTAAATTGCCTCCTCGTATCAAAGTCTTGAGTGGAAATCAGTTATGACCATCGGTAAATCATACGTTTTCCACGTCTGCAACAGACCTGTAGCATTTATTTTTAAAAGCTGCTTAGGTCTGATGCAGATCTGCATCAGATCTGATATATATCACCTTTGGGCAGTGCTGATCAGACCTGATTCAGGTCTGAGTCGATATGCATCAGATCTGACTCTTACATGCAGTAGCTCTGGACGCAGCTGAATGCGACTCAAATAATATCAACTCAAACTATTTTAAACACGACTCAAAAAAGAATTTTTTATATTCAAATAAAAGTAAGTTAACTTTAAATATTACATATCTACATTCACATTAAACAAGTTTTAAGGACAAATACGAACATGGGAACATAATGTCTGTAATTATCCTGGAAAATCAAGCAGCATTTCTGGCTCCCAATTGTTGTTGCAACGTTTAACTTGAACAAAAACTTAGGTTATTGAATTAGATTTTACGAAATTTGCCATCAGGAATTTGTAACCCCTGACCACTCAAAGAGTCTTCCTCTAGTAATTTTTTGATTCATCCAATTTTTTCGCCGCCTCACCCTATAGTTTTTCAAGTAATTTAGTCACAAAAATGTCCTTTGTTACAAAAATGCCCAATAAGTTTTGAGAGTTCGGTAATTTAACTTGGTCGAATCTTTCGTGTTCCGTGAAATTCTGAGTCGAAATAATAATTTTTAATTGATTCATTTTAGTCATGTTTATCTAACAAATTTCATTAACCAAACGTAACAACTATTATGTAATGTAAAAATGTAATACATAATCGTAAGTTAAAACAGTCTGCAAAACGTATTTACTCATCAACACATGATACAAGACTGCTCGTATCAGGGCGAAGCCCTGAATGTTCCGATTGCCTTTTAAAGTTTTATGGAGCAATGATAACATGTAAAAAATAAATGTAATGAAAATAAAATTAAATTTTATAAAATTGGAAATTTTTAATGAAGATCATCACCCCACACGCCATATAAAGTACAAAAGGATAGATTTCGCTCCTTGTAACAAATCAATTATGGCAAATAAGCTTCTTTCAACCAAATTGGAACGATTTCTAGGACGGATTAACTCTTCGCTTACGCGTTAATAGCGCGAAATATATCGCGAGTTAATTGACGCAAATTGGCCAAAATGGCAATCTTTAAACCCTCATAATTTTACGAAAAATAATCACAGGTAAAAACTTCTTTCAAATTTGAGCTCAGGACAACAATAGCTTTCGAATGATAATAAAAAAAATTCCGTCAAAAATGGCTAGTTAAGAAGTCGAAATTTGTCTGAAGAAAAAAAAACCCACCCGAGCACAAATATTCCGGAACAATAACTTGAAATTAGAACAGCCTGCAAAGTTTTTAAACTGCAGCACATAAAATAGTTCACCTGAAATTGGAATAGTTTGTGTAACACGCTTTACATGCAAGCAAATTAACGCTTTATCCGCCAGCAAAATTTTTTTTAAAAAGGTAAACACAAAAGAAAACTGAGCTCAGCGAAAAAACTGCAAACTGAGTCATGTCTAGCTATTTTTTTAGACCTGCATCAGACTTGATCAGCCCTGCTATAGTGTTAGAGCTGCTAAATAGCTGACAACTCCTGACTTTAGTTCTTAGGTAGGGGAACTATTTTTGAATGATGTGATTTGCTGCACTCGCTGCGCGTTAAAGCAAAAATGTCAAATTGCGCCCAAAAATATTCTAATTAGTCATCAGGGCAATTTAAAAATCTCCCTAACTTTACAAAAAACGGTCGCAGGTCTAAACTCAAGCAAAAGCTGTCAGTTAAAAAATTTGAAATTGGTCGAATAAATCAAAACACCTCAAGTATCTATATTCCGTCACTTCCAAAAAATACTTTATCTTCAAGCAGTGATTCAGGTGGCTGCTTGCGCTAACAGGCTATAATATGTAGTAACCCTAGAACTCTAATAAATCTTACTGAAATAATAATAGATAAGACAAAAAAGTCATTTGATTTTTGGATTTATTCTACTTGAAAGGGTTTTCAAGCTAGACATGGCTCATTAAAAAAAACTTTTATTTCTGTCTAAAATTTTCAAAGCAAACGATAACCGATTTCTAAACTAGCGTATAAATCTGAATGACGTTACATGCCTCTATTTCCTATATGTATATTCTTTTTATGTTCAGAATACTTTTTTTTTTTTCATTTTCAGAATTGAACATATCTTAATTTCTCTATGAGAGAAACACGTTGGAAACTTTGGGCGCTATTGACATGAACGCCTACTTTTGTGAAGCATTTATATGTGTATCTGCATATATCATACAACTTTTATACCATGTTTATAGCCATCGTAAATTTAACTACCATCCTGCGTGGCTGGCGCTTGGTGGCATAAATTTAACTTTTTTAACCGCTCTGCGCAGCTAATGTTTATCCCTCTAATCGATATCTTTAAACTTCCTGGCCAAGTTGCCCAATTTCTGCCCTTTTTGTTTTGAAATTGGTCGATTTTGTTGCCCTAGTTTGTTGACGTTATTTAAAGCCACCACTTAGCTGCTGTAAAATTGGCAAAGCAAAACTGGGTCTCAAAATCGATTCAAAAACGCTTTGATTTTCTAAAATTTTGCTTATTGTTAGGCAATAATTGCCTCCGTTTTTCATTTAAGCCGACCTCCGTATAAATTAGGGAAGATTTTTTGGCGCATGTATTTGAATTAGAGTGGTGCCACTGGCCTTTGTATGTCTGTTCTAGACAGGCAATTTAGCGGGAAATTGAATCAAAATAGCCGCGAGAACATTTTTTGAAATCAGGCAAATATCCCTCATATGTGCAGTTGCGAACGTGGTTAGCGTTGGCGTTGGTGTTGGTGTGTGGACTTGTACGCCGGCCATTTCCTGCGTTTTCTGAGGACTTCAGCTATAGTTAGACTATTCTGCTATGGCTATACATGCGACTTCACATTTCACTAGTTCCAAAACCTGACTCCGATTTGCTCCGGGGGACAAGAGTAGCATGATGGCTACTTCTTTTTGTTTACCACTTGTCCCAGCACTTGTTACACTACGATAACTTGTTTCTCTACCCTAGTTTGCAAAATAATATTACACCAACAAACAAATAAGTGTCCTTATCGGCCCACAACTAGCCTGGAAGTTAGCCATAACCCCCTCCCCTTCCTCATCCCTCTCTCCCCTTTGCTCTGTCTCGCTCTCAATTCTAGTTATGCTTCCTTGTTGCGTCCTGTCCGCTTTTGCCTCCCGCTCCTTCTTACCGCTTACAGTACAGCGCTGGTAATACTAACCAATTTATAATCAGGAGGTGCTAACTACTTTTCCTGACTAGTTATTCCCTTCACAGCGCTACTTCAAACTCTTCCGCGCACAATTTGTGCCCGTGTTGCCAAGATTGAAGCACCCGTTTATTTGCATAAATAACAAAACATGGAAACAGTAAAGTTTGTGAAAACAATCTTGTTTACCAGTTGACAGGTTCCCTTTGAAAAAACAACTAAATTTCCTCGCAAATTGTCACCACAAAACTCAAACATTCCCACTTTCCAATCCAACTTTTCATTCCAACCTCACGCTTCTTGAGTGTCATAAACTTCCAACTGCAGTTAATAACTAAATTTTTATCAAATAAACCAAAACATTCGGAGAATATCAATACAAGTTACACTTTATTTAATTTCTTCTGTTGTAAGCTAACTTCCCAAAATTAGCTAAATAATTAGTCGCAAATGAGTTAATTGGTTATGGACAATCGTTACTATATGACACTGGAGCAGGTCCAGGACGTTCTCTCCAACATCCAGAATCGACCATCGACTCCTAAAAGGCTTCCGGTTAACTCCGAGCTCAAACTTACTTGTTTTAGCGAGTACATTAACGTCCAGTGGCCTACGAGGGGTCCAAACAGCAATCCAAGTGGAGCAAGCTCCTCCAACTGTGGATCCCTGGACCGACCTGGGGGTTGTCCCGAGCCCAGAAAACCCAGTATTGATCAGGGAAGTTTGGGAGGGGGAATCGGGCCCGGTCTGAACGAGGATGAGAAGTTGAGGAATTTCGTCGAAACTTCTATCGATGTGAGTAAACCTCGAGCTAGTTTTAACATTCAAATTATTACTTTCCTAAAAGGTAATCGTGCAATTTTTCCTTTCAATTCTAACTCATTTAATACCAGAAACTGTAAGATCAGTTGACCTTCTCTCTTAAACTTCTGCAGTTAAAAGATGCTCAATGGAAAGGACAGTATCGAATTTGATCAAAGAGCATCTTTTTTGACGGCGGCGCGCTGCTCTTTGATGTCTTTTGTGTCAAAACTCGTGTCTAGACACGTTTTGGAGTTGATTGACAGGTTCTAGCCATTCGAGTGACGTAATCCTACAGTGGATTTCGAATGGTGCAATTTGGCGTCTTTTCATGCTGAGCGAATATTGAGTGCTAATTAAATTACAAGACGTTAAATCGTTACCTTATGAGATAAAATCTTACAATCTTGTTATTATATGTTTAAAATCACAGGCACGGATTAAATTACCTAAATTCATCTAATGTTTCAAAATTTCACCTTCAAATTTTCTATTTACCTGTTTCCATTCATATTTTTGATACAGATATCTCAGTTCTTTTTTAAATTAATATGGTAGATTTATTGTATGGATCACGGGAATTGTTTCCGACTTACAACGAATCGCCCATTTTGAGTTGCCGACAAAACCGGTTCACCCGAAGCGTATCATACTCGGGTTTAAACCGCTACCGAATTCTCAAAGAGAATAATTCAGAAACAACGAGAAGACGCCAGTCTATAAAAGAGTCGCCAGGCGGCGATGAGAACGACGAAAGTGGAAGTGCAGGTCTATTGGGTAAAATCCGACAGATCTCGGAGAGGTTTACATCACCGGGCAAAAGGTCCAGAAACATCATTCGGTTTAAATCCAAACTTCAGGTGCCAGAAACTTCAACTAGTTATCACACCACTCGACGCGTGCGCAACATAAGTTATTGTAGCCAAATTTTTTTCTTCAAAGTGGGCGTAACTTAGCTTTCTTAAATAAAATGCAGTATAGGATTACTAATTTTCCAAGAATGAATTTCCAAGATTTGAACAAGACGAGCTTTTCTCAAAGAGAGGAATCTTAAGTTGTGCTTTCAACTTTGCAAGAATAAAAAAGCTTGGTACACCTTGCTTTTAGGAAAAATTAGTAGCAAATTATTTGGCGAAATGGTGGAAGTTATGTAGGTCTTGTTATCTGTTGATAAATTGAAAGTAAAGATTAGGAAAAAAGATTTCGTTTCAGTTGCCAACTGATGATACTCAATCGGAAATAAGCGAAGATAATTTCTCCCTCCCGTCGAATAACACTAGCGACAACAACGCCCCCTCGCCCCTCGCCCGAGAAGTGAAGTCGGAGTCCTCGGTGACATCTCAGAACTTCTTCGGGGGTGTGACTCGCAAGGCGGGATGGCTGGAAATCAAACATATCCTGTTTCTGCGCAAGAGGAGACTGGAGGTACTTAACATGTTCACATGCCCCTTTCTGTGTCTACATATATCTTTGCCAGTTTCTTATTATTGTTCATTTTCTCTCAAATTACAAAAAATTGTAACCAGACTACGTTTCCCTGCTCCTTGAATTTTTTTTGCCCGTAGCAATGCCCAAAATAAACTTTTCCTCACGAAAATTTGATTCTTAGAAAGCTTTTACACCGCCGCTTTCTTATAACAAAACGTTATAGACCCAACGCAGTAGATTTTTGTATTATTGGGGGAGCATGAATGAGAAAGAGTCGGTGCTCTTTTTTTAGTTTGTTTTTTGGTTTCAGACTGCGAGTAAGAGGAAGTGGCACAAGTACTGGTGTTGTCTCAAGGGTGTCTCTCTCTTCTTCTACTCTGTCGCCCAAGGGGAGCAGCCGGCCATAGATGACACTAGTGAACCTGCATGCACCCTTAGTGAGTAAAAGGACATTTGAAAATGTGATTGGGACCAAGTTAACGTCCGCTAGAAGGTATAGTGCGGAATGCCGCTAGAGTGGGACGATGCTTAAGTTTTAATGAACGAAGTGAATTATCACTTATACAAGTCAAGTCGTGCTAATTTCTTTTTTTTTCGTTTTTTTTCAGGATTTTTTTAAAAATTTGTTCATGCTCAACTTCGATTTTTGACTTCTGATTGTTTAAAATTTCAGTTCAAATTCATTTGCAGGATGGAAGGCCCATTCATTACACTCCCTAATAACGAAGTGCAAATGGCGCAAAAAAAACTGGCTGACTTTTAGTTTATGAAAGGGACTTTTATTATCATGATTCCCAGTGGAATGAAAAAGTTACTTATTCACCCAGTTTTCTGTATTATCAAAAAATAGCAATCATAAAATAATTTTTTTCTCATTCAAAGAGCTATGGCGAGGAAAAAGAGAAGGAAAAGACTTCCCTAATGGCCTTGCAATGCGAATCTTGCACAGAATCTTGCAAACAATACATTTTGCATATTCCCTAAAAGATTCTTTCATCTTCCGTGATTTGCAACATATCGCCAAGAAATGAATTAGCATACCACTAAATGATTATTTTTCAATTGTTCTTGCTGGTTTTGGCAGGTGCACTGCGTTTACACCCGGAGGTTGCTTTTAAAATGCTTCCCCAAGACAACTGACAATCAAGCAAAATGCATGAATGTACTTTAAAACGTTTTAAGAGAACTCATCATTTAGGATTTTTTTCAAAATAGTTTAATGAGAGTTATACTTTGGAAAAAAATGGTTATTCATTCAAGTCATCAGATGCTAATTGTTCAAATTAAAAAAAATAATTGGAGGAAAAAAGTTGCAAATTCATTTTTTGCTTCTAATTCATATAGTTTATTTCATCAGTAATTTTTTAGGTGGTTAAAAAGCGCGAAGCAAAAAAGATAAGTTTAGTTACTGTGCAAGAAGTGCATATAGTTTTTTTGGCCACATTCAGTAAAAAAAGAAAACAATTTTATAAAGTATTGTAGTCAAACTTGTCTCGTTTTTTTGTGAGTGGTATAAAAAGAGGAACTAGACGAAAGCTCAGAATGAAAACTAATTCGGAATAATCAGCAACAGTTAATTTCAAAAAATGAAAACAATTCAAAGTGTCGTTTCAATCAAAATTGAAAGGGCCGATATATGATACGTCTCTCGTCTCATTCTGATGATTGTTTGTGGGACCTAGTTTTGCGCAATTTTTAGTTGTCGGAGCAGAAACTAAAACCGTAGGCTGGTAATGATCTCCGCTAAATCAGCTTTCTTGGACCGCACAATAAAAAATTATATTTTTGTAATGAAAGTTATGTGCAAGATTTTGCATTCCGAATGCAGAAAACAAACACTTCGTGGAAAATTCGTGCATTATCTACCTTGCATTGCTAGAATCTTGCAAAATTTGCATTCCAAAAACGTTAAATTGTTCCCAAATTAAGACTTTATCATCTTTAAACGGTCACATTGTTAAACGGTCTCCATATAATATTTTAAAAATTTAATTAAAAATTTTTGATCCAATTTTGGTGAAAAAAAAATATTATTCTCATTGTGATTTTTGTATCCTAATTAATTCCTATGAACTGCAAACTAAACAAAAATATAAGGCTGAAGTTTTGCAATCCTCTAAGAATGCTCTCATTAGATGTAATGGATAGTTTGATGCGCCGCCACTTTACAAAGCAGCGAAAACAAAACGCTGTACAAACCTCATAATACCTTGGGCAATATCCCCCCGTTCATCACGTCGAAATGATTATTTAAAAAAAAATTGTCTTTTTTATTTTAGATATCGAGAACTGCATCGGACAGGCTATCCCAGAACACCCGAAGAAAGAGAACATTTTTTCATTGAGCACCGCCAACGGAGACGTCTACTTGTTAGAAGCACCCTCACAGATAGAACTGGAGAACTGGATCACTGCCATACACTCCAGTAAGTTATGCATGATTTGCAAGTTTTAGCTTGACTGAAAACTCCTCCGTGAATTACAATATAAAAGAAGGTCATTGACCTAGACGATAAAAATGCTTTTTTCTCCTTTTTGTCCCTAATGTTTTGTTTTCATATGGATCATGTGTTGAACAAAAAGTTTCTTATGTATTCTTCTTTTCCAGGCTGTTCGAGTGCCTTCGCCATCTCAGTTCTGGACAAGTACAGCTCCAACGGAACCGCACAGAGAACACCACAGCAATCTTCGCTCTCTGCGTCATTCAACAATGGTAACAGTATCAATCATTACATGAACAGTAGTGGCAATGGTGGCCATCAGCAGAAGCCTCAGGACACTCTGAGTTGTCTGCGGGATGAGATCAGGAAGAGGGAAGATGCGATGGATAGAGACAGCAAGATGAGGAAGATGGCCCAGTTGCAGTTGAGTGTGACCTCTGACTCCAAGAACAGACAGCCCATCCTGGCCCAGATTGAGAACTGGGAGCAGAATCTGGAACTGATGCAGTGCGACCTATATCGGTGAGATGACAAACACTATGAAAAAAAAACATTCAAAAATGAGAAGGGAGGGAGCGTGAACATTTTGAAAGTCTTGCAGCATTAGATGAGAAATGCAATCAGGGCAGATGCAACAATTTTTTTTCAAAGGCGAGCATGGCTCTAGGCTAGTGGTAAACTTTAAATGTCGAAAATCAAAACAAATTTCTGTTTTGAAACTCGCATTGGAAAAACATTTCCACGTGCAGCTCAGATTACCATGTATCATAACAAATTAGAAGATGATTTTTTATTCTACTTGCGAGAACAAATGTCTTGTAACCGGGAACGAGACTTCTTTTCACGTCTCTCTTTTCAACAATTTTTCTTTTTTCAAAATTTTCAAGAACTTGCTGTCGCCTTATAGCTTCTTAGCACCGTCCAGGCCCCTTCTCACTTTGCCTGGAGGTTTTGCGGTTGCCTTTTCGCCTATTGTATGAACTTCGTTTTTTCAGTGTCTAAATTGAAATGTTTTCCGGGAAAATTGAATAGTCAGGTTATAATTTGTAAGTTTATCTTTTGTAGGTTTAGTTGCATACATCGGATTTTTTTTTCATTTTTCCAAGTATTGTTGCTATATCTTGAAATTTTTAAAATTTTTGATCCCTGACTAGCATATTTTAGTTTTTTTTCTTAGTTTTTTCCCTTAGAAAATTTATTCGGCCTCAATAATTTTGGCTCATGTTTTATCGGTTTAGTGATTTTTTTGCATCGTTTTAAAGTTAAAATGTGATCATTTCAGTTTTCAAAAAAATCAGATTGGTAGGTAGTATAAAAGTTAAAAGTTAAAACATTTTAAACGCTCAAATTTTTTCGGCAACACTTTACTTTCGATTTTTAATTTTTGGTTTAATTGGCGTTTAACCACATTTTATCAGCTGATTGAGTGGTCGATAAATGCTATGCACTTGTTTATTGCTAGTTGTAGTATTGCTTGTCGCTGTATCGGAGATTGAATTTTTTCGTTTTTCCGAAAAAATTATTGATTTTAAGTTTTTTTTTTCGACTTAGCTATTTTCATCTCAATTTCTATTTGGTAGTTTGAAGTGCTACGCTATCGTTGTATCGTGTATTGTCAACATTATGAAGATGGTAAACAAATTTCAGTTAAAAATGGTGAATTTAAAATTCAAGTTTGTCTGAATATACCACTCCAAGATTAAGTATTACATCTATTTCTCTAAAATTTCAAACAATAAGCAAACTGTCTCGATCAGGATGAAAAAAACAATGGTCCAAAAAAAATAAAACAAAGTCATTTTACAGAGCTTATCAAAAATGAAAAAATCGATAGTAAAGACACTGAATTTGACAAAAAATTTAAAGTTTGTATTTTTAACTGCAGTTTTTAACTTTTCAATGACATAAAATCAAACCCGAAATAAAAACTTTTTCCTCGAATTTTTTGGTGCTGCTGGTGCTTTACATGGTCTTTCATGCTGGATAATCCTTCAAATATGTTTTACATTAGCGAGTACTTTGGGATAAATTCCGGAGGCTTATGTCATTTAGGATATAATGCCCTGCATCTTGACTCTTTGCTTAAAAACATAACATAGAATGGTGTAGCACTATGAATACAATCAAAAATTGTTTTTTTTTCAGTAAAAGGCAATGTTTAAGAGTAATGAACGTAGTGAAGACTCTTATATAGGTCTTGCTGTTTTTTTTCAGGAAAAAGTCTTAAAATATTGAGTGTAGTCGGTATATATGCACTTTTTGAGTTCAATTGTAATTCATCTGCTGAAAGTGACGTAAATAGCACTCTCCAATTACAAACGTGCAATTGGGGCAAAAAAAATGAACGATTTCCATTTTCGAAAATGGAATTTAATTTTTGGATTTACTGCGGAATAAAAAGTTGATCTGTTGATCCAGTTTTCTTAAGTTGGGTTATTGTTATCAAAAAAGCACCCATCATAAATCGTTCTAGAATTTCAAAGATCTTAAAGGGCGTCTCTTTTTTCTTTGAAATTTGAAAGTTGAGATTTTTTCAACTAAGTGTTTTTTATGTTTAATTGCGTTCATTGCTCTTTTCTAATCTTCGATTGGCTATGTTTATACTTTTAACCCTTGGGATTTTTTTGAAAGTAAAACATGAAATAATCTGAAATTATTCAACATGCTTTGAATTTTGCAATGCAACAGATTCAGTAAAATGCCAAATTTAGACATCACAAATAGCTTAAAGAGTAGATAACTAGCTAGTAAAATGGGTGTTCTGAGACATTTTTCTAATTGACAGGGTTTGGTTTGTTGATCTCGATTTGACAAATTTGTTAGAGTTTCCTGGTTGTCTGAATATTTGAAAATTAGAAATAGATCGCCTGATTTTTTTACTATCTAACCGTAAAATTTTTCCTAGAATTTGTATTAAAATTTTATAAAGGAGCGAAATCGTTTTACACTTTTTGCCAATATATTTTACTATGATCATTTTACATTGTATTTAAGTTATCACTTCTACAACAATCGAATTATTTTGATTATAGGTTTTGACCGCCTTCGATTGGAGTAGGTTGTGGCGGCACATCAAGAAAACATAATTTTTGGACCATAGTTTTGCAGCACCATATTTTTGGACCAGTTTCAGCATTGCTAGTTTTAATTCATTCTTTTTTCACTGATGATGGACAGATGGACTGGTGTTATTTTGCATCTTATTACTCTGAGCTTGCTCAAGCCTAAAATTCCCGCTAAATTTGTTTCAGTGAAATTTTTTGTTGACGTTAAACTTTTTTAAATTGATTTGGTGCTCAGAAAACAGCTTAATTTTTTGAATGAATTGGTTCAAAAAAGTTTTTTTTTTCCAAACTCAGAGGTTGGAGGAAATAATGATATAGGCTGCTGTCATTTTGTCACGAAAAGTTACGTAACTCATAGAACACTCTCAGGGCATCAGGTATTGTATACTTATTAATTACTTGCTCAGGAAAATTTGAAAAAGTTAAATCTCCCGAGAAAAGAATTCGAAAAAGCTCCATTCTTATATATTTTTGGACTTGACCAGTGTAACTCAATACTGAATGAAAATGCAATGCATCAAGTGTTTAATTAACAACTATCTTAAACAAGAATATGACCTAATGTTGCTTAGTAAGGGTGAGGGTGTTGCTGCTGCTGGTTTTGGGCTGCTTAATCAGTCTCTTCAACAGAGTCTTCGAATCTATCCTGACACTAGTGTCTTCTAAAATCATTTCCACCACTTCCTGTTTTCCTTTCAAGTTCAAATCACTGAACGAAGAATCGTACCTGGCCAATACTTTACTCAGCTGCACCGAAGACAAAGTGCGCTCTCTGAATTGACAGATGTTCTCAAGTAGCATCTGATCAAACAGTTTTCCTAAATATTCCTGCTCGTACTTAGATTTCAATCTCAACCTTAGAGATTCTAGACATGCTTTGATAGTCTCGCTTTCGATTTTTGCATACTCGCTCGACTTTCGTTTGGCCATCACCTTTAAAGGCACGTCGGTGAAATTTGAGTCTTGATAAGGCAAGCTCAGAGATCGCTTTTTCATACTTCGGGACGTTTTGCTCTTTTTCGGATCTCTTCTTGAGTCGTGACTCTGACTCGAAGCTTGAAACGACAGACGTCTCGGCTCTTTCCGTGCATCAAAGCTGCGACTATGTTCTACGGTCGTGGACAAGTCTTCAGGTCTTATTTTCAAACAATTGAGTCGTATAAACTCTCGCTCGTTTTTCGCCAGCCATTTTGTGACATATTTATTTTTGGACCTTTCCAAAGTAGCGGAGCTTCCAGGAGCGATTCTTGGATTTTTCAATGTTCTAGCGGGAACCGGTGGTACACGAAGACTAGCCGAGAGACCTTTTGGTAGAAGTTCCTTCGAAGCGGAAGGTTCAAGGGTGCGATGCAACTCCTCGTGAATAGTTCGATCAGTTGATATGTCGAGTGTAATTGAGCTGAAGTCTTGCTGTGCTAGCATGCTTGAAAGTGAGTTGTCCATGTTTGTTACCAGTAAAGTAGTTCGGTCCACGTCGCCTTTGCAAGCAGGAACCTTGTCAAAGCTTCTTTTCTCTTTCGACCCTGGCTTTCTTGGCTTTGAGGTACCAGGTTTCTCTATACCATTATCAGGCTTCAGAGCCATGTCGTCGCTTCCTCTGAGGTTTGGCTTGGAACCGTCTCTCGACTTTTTCCAAGATTGTACATCAAGCATCTCGATCAAACACTCGTCTTTAAGCTCAGTTTCTAGTGCAATTTTCTGCTTGCAATCGTTTTTGCGTACTAAAGAGCAATGCTCGTCGCCTTGCATTGGGTTGGTACGAGTGAAAAACGACAACTCTTCTGTGATGTTATATCCCAACCGTTCAGTATCCGCTAGGTTGTCTAGTTTTGGCATCAGTGGTAGCGGAGTTGAAAATTTACTGGGATCGTTCAAGTTCAAGTTTAGTTGTGTGGTGCTTTGAAGAAACGAAGTATCTTTATAATTTTGACCTGGAATTTGACCTGTGAAGACTTCAACATGTTCAGTTTTGACTCTTTTAGGCTCAAGTTTAGCTGGTAATGTCTCCCATTTGGTGGATAGGTTATAGAACGGATGCAAGCCAAACAGAGCATCGAATCCGTTGTTTTTAATAAACCATTGATAATACGACTGTGTCCTGACAAATCTAAACGGATAAATTGGCCGAATAATCCCGGATAAGTCTTTATTGGTTTCCTCGAATCCGTCATAAAAAGAGCAGAAGTTGGTCTCTGCAACTGATGTATAGTAAACTAAAATCATAGACTCAGTTGTTGGAACTGGTATCTCAAATTTGTCTAATTCCACGTAATGGTTGTAATGCATGTCCGAAAGTTCCTCCAAATCCACCGATTCTATCATCGACTCGGTTCCAGTTAGGGGCGCGTAACTGCTGCAAAAGTTATCCATGTCAATGTTTTCGATGTTTTCATCAAAGGACTCCAAATCTTCGAGATTAAACCGCTTGTGATCATCATCACTCTTTTCATTTTTCTCGAAACTGACGTTGTAGAACTCAGAATGAGAGATGTAACTGGGGTCACCGAGATCGCCAAAGTGGGCAAATCGGGTCCGGATTTCGGACCTTGAAACTGTCTCCGAAACTAGATCTCCTAGAAGACAAATTTGGTCCAAAATATCCCCGGTTTCGGTCAGGGTCAGCGCCGCTGTTTGAAGAGGTTCGGCTGTTTTGATGCGTATTTCAGGCGAATCATAGAACGCTCGCATTACAGACATGCTTCCTGAAACTGTAGACAAATTTGGATCATCTTGAATGTCTTCCACTGATAACTCGTCAATCATCTCGTTAATTGACAGACAAAAATTGTCTTGCTTTAACCAGATTAAGGGCATATTGTAACGAACCTCTGCAAGTGATGTCGAAATATAACTCCAAGAAGCTTGGGTTAAAGCTGAAGTAACTGGTAAATTTGAAAATGGGAAGAAGCTCAAATCGTATTGAGTGAAAAGATTCAAGTTTTCTTCGAAGTTCTCGATGTTGACTTCTTCACCAACTAGAACACACTGGATTAAATCTACAGAGCTTGATTTGTTATTACTGTTGAAATTAGCAAGTTCGGCATTCATCAGATCAGGCGACACTCGAGAAATACAACTGCTGTACACAATTGAATCATTTGAAGCCGAAGTTACACCAGTGTTATAACTTCGAACTCCCGTTTCTTCTTGTCGGGAGACGCTCGTGTCGTCATCAGCCTCGACTCCCTCGTCGGTTCTAGCCTCGGCTTCTATTGTAGTAGTCGTATCGTCAGTTGTGAAATCTGAGAAGTCACTAGGCAACTTCCCTGCTCTTCGCCCGCTGCGCAGAATCAGCTCATCGTCAAGGTCAACAGTCTTCTCGGTGTTTTTCTCTTCTTCGGTTCGGGAACTGATGTTTTCGAAACCGCTGCTCACATCACTCATCTGCTCGGTATCCAGTGACAGCTTATAGTGATTTCTGTTAACTAACGAGATGCTCTCGGATTCTCCTGTTTCCGTTGCCAGCTCGTCTTTTGTCATTGGCTCTTCATTAGACGTAACATCGTTCTCGTCGTGGCTTTCAACTTTATCAACGGATTCGCTTTGAACTATTTCTATCTGCGTGTTCTGAACAAGATCATTGCCATTTATATTATCAAAAGGGTCAGTATCATCTTCGACGGTGACGATGTTTTCAACATGCTTGTCTACTCGCATAACCGACAGCCTGGCGTCATTTTCTGAACTGCTGTCGTCTACCGCCGAGAACTCAGACGAGTCGGTGTTCAGTTCGGGCTCAAGATCTTCGGGCACATTTTCTCCGAAATGCACATTTTTTATTCCGTTTTTACTCACTTCATATTCAGTTTCTTCTTCTTTAGCACTTTCTTCGTGTTTTGTATCACCGGCGTTTTCGTCCATGTTCAAGTCCAGCAGTCTTTCGATTATTGTATCAGCAAAAAAGATCTTGAGTTTTGATGTTGCCAGTTCTAAGTCACTGTAAATCCTAGGATATATATTTTCAAAGGCGCGGTATGTTTCGTGTAACCCAAACCCCATTTAATTATGATCCTGAGCTGGGATGTAAGATTTTCTCATGTGGTGGGGGCAGTTTTGTCAAGTTTTTTTGGTTTAGATCAATCAAATTGAATTTCCGAGCTGTCTCAAAGCACACCCTAAATAAACCTTTTAAGCCAAAGTTTTCTGCGCCACATGCAAATTTTCATAAAACAGGAAAAAGATGAAGATCTAAGAAGTCGAATTTTAAGAGTGGGAAAGTGGAAAAGAGCCCATTTTTGTGATGTAATTAATTCTCTTACAAGATTGTGCACGCAGAACAAATTTTTTCAAATTTTAATATGTGCCAAATTTCATTACAATCGGAAAATCCGACGCTAGGGAAACTGGCATCAATCAACTAGCTCCTGACTACTCTAATTTGAGGTGGTGCAATACTGTTCGCTTTTTCGTTTGTTCGTTCTCTTCTCTAGTTTGACGTTTCTCTTTTTCTCGATTGTAACTTCAATGAAGTGACGGTGGCGTGTATTTTTCATAAGAAGCCGCAGCTGCGAAGTTAAGTCAGTGGATTAGTCATCATGAGCACGTGCTCTGCTTTTTCTATTTTTTCAATATATCACTTCCTAGAAATGGAGGTTGATGATGAGCATAAGTCACCATTACGTCACAGCAAACTATTTATCGAGAAACTAAAATTCTTTATTCAAGCTGAAAACATCACCGATCATCATATATTGCCTTTTTTATTTTTGCCCCCACCTGCGAATTTCAGGAGTAATTTTTCTGTTGACATTGTTCGGCTCTTTTTCCTTTTCCCCCCACCTGCAAAATTTACATGTAAATTTGTTGACCATATTGTCCGATTGTAATCAACATTTACATACGGACTAATAAGGCCACGACAAACATATTTGGTCTCCATACACAACCTCGTAAAACCACTCGTTACACTAATATATTGAAGTTCGTGTGTGAGGTGGGGGGGGGGGGGGGTATGGGGGTTTGGAAGGAAAAAGAGCCTATTGTTCGAGTGCTACAAATTTGGCATGCGGACTAATTAGGCCATGACAAACAAATTTTTTAACCCGTTTTTTTATATATATTTTGGCTACGGCCCTAATTCTACGCGAGTGGACAAAATAAAACACCATGTCAGGTATTTACTATCTAACGTCTATGTTCAATGACCCTTTCGTACAACTTTCACTCTGAATAGCAGCAAAATTTTTAGCAAATGATTCCAGCTACCCTCCTTAAAGGTTCCAACTTTTGGTTTCAAGGACTTGCCCGTTCATTCCGGGTTTGAAAACAAACGCCTCTTATCATTATCTGCAGTAACTTTTAAGCATGAAAACTTCGTTATCGAAGCGATTCAAATTATTTTGTTCATGCATTAGAACTAAATCGAGCAAAAAACCGCGTTTGAGTGAGCTATTTTTAAAAATAGATATACAGAGACTTTTCACGCTCTTTAAAAAACTTACTACAGATAATGAAAAATGACTTTTTCAAACCCGGAACAAACTGGTAAGTCCTTGAAATCAAAAACTGATACTTTTATAGAGGGTAGCTGGAATCATTTGCTAACCGTCGAGTGAAGATTTGGTGATATTAAAAATTTAGCTGATTTTCAATTTACTGAATGTTGTCCAAACTGTTCATTAAAAAGAGCCATATTTTTGCAAAACTTGACTCTTAGTGTGTTTTTGTTTCAGCCTGAAGTGCTATTGTGCCTCGATACAAGGTTCTGAGCTGCCAAACCCCAAGGGTCTTCTGGCAGCTGTGTCCAAAGACACCAAGAATCACCTGGCTAAACTGAACTGCTTTAACGTATCCTCAATCCACGCCCTTCTATCTGCCAGGAGCAGAGACACTCTGTCTGTAGACATCGCAGCCAGTAGTTCCCTCGAAAGAAGCAAGAAAAAACCCAGCATGGTCAGTGAATAACAATAAAACAAACAAAAAAATAGAAAATGTACGGAAAATTACCATAAATGACATAGTTTACATTAGATCCAAAATAGCCACTAACTGCATAAGCTATTTTCCATTGAGGCTCTTCTACGAGTAGTCTTTCAAGTCTTTTATTTATGCCTTCTTAGTCGCAAATTTTTGGCCCCTCAAAAATCGAAAATCAATGCTGCTAAGCATTAATTATTGGAAGCTGTTACCTATCAAATTTCATTGAATAATAATGATTTGATAATGTTTTATTGCAAGCCATTTTTGAACTATTATTTCTAACTTTTCAGTTGTCGGTCCTGAGGCCAAGGGAAGATGCGAGTAGTTTCCAGAGGAACATGAAACGAAGAAGCTGGAGACAGAAAGATAACGAGGAGGTAAATTACATGTATTTTCATTCAATTCTGGCCTGCCTTGTAAAAACCGGCTCTTCTACTGTTTCCCTAAGTCTGCAAATTTATAAATTGTGTTCACCTTGTCCAATTGTCATAAATATTGGCTTGTGGTTTATTTACCTAATTACAAACATATATATTTTTCCTCTTTTACAACTGCGTTAAATCAATGGTTAAATCGTAAAAAAAAATAGATGTTTTTAACGGTAGAAGAGCCGAAAAACTTAACGAAACTAGCCGATTGAAAATTTTTACGAAACTGACGCCTGCTTAAGCATTCATCCCCCAGACAACCCAGTGGGCATATATTTTTACTGCGTCCATTTTGATCGACGGACTCTGAACTTTTTAAAATACTCCTTCATCGCCAATATATAATATATGTGTTTTTTTTTTGCATTTCGGGCGAGCTCGCAAAATCAGTTTGTTTGACCTTAAAAAAAACATTCGACTGAATTTTTTAGAGTTTCCCTCAAAAAATCCAAGTTCACTGCCGGCATTTATGTGTATACGTTAAATAAGAACAGTTCAGTGCATTGTATCCACTTTGAATTTTTCTACTTAAAGGTTGGACGAATATTTCGTTGTACACAAAACTGCTTTATTTCAGCCGATCAAAAGTCTGCCTGGTGAAGAATGCCCTTTTCCTTTCGGATACCCCGGAAACCAACTCGTATCCTCCTCGAACTCAGGCAGCCCAGCCGAGAACAACCTGTTCGGCAGACTCATCAAGGTCAGCCTACCTCACAACCAGAAGACAGTGATTCCCATAAAGCCAGGAGTGACAGTGCATGAGCTGTTGATTCACTGTTGCAAGAAGAGAAAACTGGATCCGAGAGACCATTTCATCCGAATCAAAACCGTGTCGGCAGTCGTGAACAGTCTTGTGTCCAATGCGGCTGCCAGTCGAGATCTCCAGTCGCCGACGAGTGGGGGAGAAAATAATAATAATAACAGTTTGGGTCTGAAGTGGGTCATTCCTCCCTACAAGGTCAGCAAATTTTGGATCTTTCTCAAAAAACGATATTATGCTAACTTCTGCTCAAATTTTTCCAATTCTTTTTTGCTGTTTTCTTTCTGTGTAAGTAATCAATCAAAAATAACGATCCTGGTTATGGCAAAACACGTAGGGTTTTGGTCAACAATTTTGTTTTTAGAATAGTCGTTTTTTAGCTGCTATCTTTGGTGTGCAATGTTTTTGATTTTAAAAGAGTCTTACTAGTTTCTTTGTCTAAAGGCTAAGATGGATGACCTGGACTGTCGTGATATCCAACTGTGCATCAAGGAGTACCACTCAATGCAACTGATCCGTCGGCCACACGAGCGCTTCGGCATAGAGTACGAGACGATGCAAGAGTGTTCGGGCAATGAGATGAGGCTTTATGTGGTGGATGTGATCCAAAGCTCAATTGCTCAACTTGGAGGTGAGAGCAGAAAAATGATTTCTCAGAGCGACAAGAAAATTGGCGGTCTAAAATTCCAAGAATTAGTTTTTTGCCCTTGAGATGACCTTGATTTCACCACTATAGCCACTTGTAACTTTTGGAGCTATTGAAATTGTTTTTTTTTTCAAATTGCAAAAACAGTTCGGGCTTAAGCAATTTTCAAGTTCCTTGGATAGCTTTCGAAAACCAGTTTACATCCAGATGGCAAAGCAAAACTCATTTAATTCTTAAACGTACGAATGAATTGACTCTCTTGTTTTTTTCTCTGTAATGTTTCATTTTTCAGGTCTACTGCCGGGCGACGAGTTGATAGAGGTGAATGGGCAGAATGTAGCTACAGTTGACCCCTCTACTCTGGATATGATTCTGAAGACAGACTCGCTCACTTTAGTAGTCAGGTCCATGCGTCCCTCCACAGCCCCCTGTCTCCAGTGCAGTGCGGCCGCTGCCGGCGGTCATGGCCATGGTCATGGACACGGGGTGGCCATGCATCACCCGGCGGCTGCGATGCGAGTACCACACTCTGGTAAGTTTGATGATTTTGTTCTAAACATTTTATGCGTGATTGCGTTCTAATGTCATGTAGCATAGGAACCGGGAACACAATTTTTGGTTTTTTTTGCTACTCATTTTGAAAGTTTGAATTAAAGATGAATGTTTTTGCTCAAATTACAAGCGATAAAATAAATTTTTTACTCATTAGAAATTACTAAAAATTGAAAATAACATTGGGGTTAAGCTTCAAATCGGCATCAAGAAAGACTCTACAAAAAAAATTCTGCAGCAATTAGCAATGTAATTAGCAAGCGTTGTTTAATGAGAACATCCGTTTTTTCTGTCAACAACTTGTCTAATAGAATCAGTGAGCCATTTAAAACACAATAACGTCAATTAACTTGAAAAATAAGTAATGAGATAACAATTTGATTGAACTTCTGATTTGTTTAGTTTTCTATCTAATGATGGAAAACCGTAGTTGTCAAACATTTAATCAATTCAATGGCATTATACTATAATCACATTTTTATTACTAGCTTAACGGCACTGAAAAGGGCAACTGGTAGCTGTGCAAGTATCACAGAATACTCCGACCACAGTAGCAATGCAAGAAACATCATAGAAACTGAGAAAATCATAATTTTCAAAAATCGGATTGCCGAGAAAACAGATTTTCAGCTTCTAAATTAACCAAAGAACTTCTCCAGTCAGTTTTCTAAACAACCTTATGATTAATTTTTGGAACTCGAAGAGTCTTTGAAAGGGGTATGTTATATCACTGGACCCTGAACAAGATCTACGTTTGGTGTGTTATTTTGCGCGGAAAAAACCGATTGGCCATTAAGGTGGTTAGATTGTAAATATATCTGCAACAGGGGCGGATTTAGGAGGGGGGGCGGGGGGGGGGGGGGCAGACGCCCTCCCCCTCAGGGATTCGACCCCCTGCCGACCCAAAGGGTCCCCCCTTTGATACTTTTTAAGAAATCCATTTTTGGCCGACCGACCCTAAAAATTTTCTAAAGGCGCCTTCGGCGCCAATATATACTAATTTTGAGGGGGGAGCGCGCGCCGAAAAAATGCAATTTTTCGGTCAAAATTTTCCAAAAAGTGCCTAAAAACGCCTTTTTTGACCTGTTTTTTCAAAATTTTGCCTGCGGCCCAAAAAATTTGGCCAAAATAAGGACAAAACCGTGCTTTGGGAGAGCTCGAAAAATCAATTTGGTCGACCTAAAAAAAAAAAAAGGTCGTCAAAATTTTCGAAAATTTTTTGAAAATCCGCCCCCCCCTCGAGAAAATCCTAGATCCGCCCCTGATCTGCAATATGAATTGTTTTCAATGAAAAACTGCCCTTTGGTTTTTATGCCTCAGAAAATTTGGCTCAATTTTGCGCTAATTGTTCCGACCATTGAAAATTATTTTTTTTCTGTATTATATTTTTTTTCTTTTTTTTTGCTTTTTGTTTTCCACCCAAAATGAAGTACCACAAACGATAATCGGACTGGGTTGAGTGATATATCATAATAAAGCCTTTTCAATCCTGATGTGAACCATTTTTAAAAATTTCCTAAAGTTTTTCTTGCAGTCGAGAAAAACCGGTTTGAAATTTTTGATTTTTCGTCCTAATTCGAGCAATTAAAGCAAGCCAGCAGGCTGACAACAGCTGAATTATGCCTAATTTAAGACTTTGAAGCCTTAATTTAAGCCAGTAAACTCTTTTTGGAGTTTTTTAGCTTCATTTAGAAACAAAAACCAATAACTCCAAAATAAGTTAAATTTTTGCGGTTTGACGTTTGATTTCCTTTTAAAATAATTTCATTTCCTTTGTTAAAAGGAAAACAAACTCCACCATCAAACAGCAAAAGTGTGAAGATCACAATAAAACGTGATTGATTTTTAACTTTTAAAGTGGAATTTAATTTTCGGATTTCCCAGCTAAATAAAATTTTTTAGATTGATTCAGTTTTGTCAAGTTGGGTTATTTTTATTTTTATCAAAAAATGTTGTAAATTAAAAATTGCGCTGGAAATTTGAAAAATTTAAAGAGTTTTAACGCCATGTATTTTTTTCTTTCCAATTTGAAAGTTGACTTTTTCAAAAATAATGTTTCCTTGCGCTTATGACTCCTTCCAACTGTCTGTTGGTATTGGTTAATATGTTCCACTTTAAAAAATTTCAACGGTTGGTTGATATAATTTAAAGGAACTGTAATCTAAGGATTTATCAATGTTGAGTTTGCTATGATGATTTTGGTCGAAATATTCTGTGCTACTTGAACAGCAACTGGTGACTCAGTTGAGCTTGCAAAGCATTTTTTTTGCATATAGTTTTCAAAATGTTGCTGTTTTTTGCAGAACACAACGATCACCATCGCAGATCGCAGGTGTCTGAGGCCAATTCAGACCAATTGAGTAGCAACGGTAGCAGTAGCGGCTGTGGAAGTGGTAGTGGAGCTAGCGGAGGACACCTACCTGACACCACAGTTAGAGGAGGTCTGGCAAGGAAGGTGTCCTGCAATCGAGACAGCCAATTGGTGCCAGAGAACATGATGACGTCACCGGAGACTTACAAACTGGCATGCACTCTTCAGGAGTTGCTGAACTCAGAGGAAAAATACATCAAAGTGAGATATCATTTTTGTTTATTTTGAAGTTCTGCAGTGCGGCAGTCATTTTTCTCAGACGAAACAACCGTTCGAATATTTCAGATTAACTATAATTTACTATTATAAATTGTCAATGAAGTTTCAGTTAAGTATTTATCAATTGACCAAGTTAATTCAAATTGGTTTTCAGGATCTGGACTATCTTCTGGAAAAATATCTGGAGCCCTTGGCCAACACAACTTTTCTACACTCGAGTGAGGTGAGTGGTTTGTCTATTTGATCTAAACTGGGATTTGATGTCCTTATATAAACTAAAAAACACAGACTGAAATTTACAATCAGTCTTTTCACCCCAGTCGAAATAATCAAAGAAGAATTTTTTCTTTGAAAATTTTTGATTCGCTGGTAAAATACGCAAAAGAATACATTTAATTCACATAAGTGACGAAAGTGATCCTTGCTGACCCCATAAAGTTTATGAGCTTGATTTTTTTTAGCTTCTGGTGCTGGCCAAGAACACGCGTGATATCGTGTCATTTCAACAGCAGCAATTCCTGTCCCGGCTGCGTTCAGTTCTGACGTCGCAGGACCTGTTCTCTCTACCTGAGCTGGCATCCTTCCAGAATATTTTGATGGAGCTGTGTGACGTGTTCTCTCAATGCGTGGACGGATTCAAGATGTACAGTTCTTTCTGTGCAAACCACTCTAAGGCGCAGAAGGTCTTTGATAGCTGTGAGTACTTTTTCTTTAAAAGATTGAGCGCATGAACGTATAGTTTGATACGCTCATGCTAAAAACGTGGCACACTCCGCAAACACCACCTATTTACTTCAATAGCCGCGTTATGACAAGTCTTCTTTTGTTTAGCGCGAACCATGCCCGAATTCCTTTTCTTTCTGGAACGAACCAACCCTGAGAACGAGCACTCAAAGTCACTTGAATCGTATCTTATTAAACCCATCCAAAGAATTCTAAAATATCCCCTCTTGCTACGAGAGGTCAAAGCTTTTATACCCGAAGGGTGTCCTGAGCAGGGCGCCCTTGTGATGGCCACGAATCATATGGAAAGTGTAGCTGAATTGATAAATGATATGAAAAGAATCCACGAGGAGTATGGATCCATATTCGACGATCTACTAAGTGAACAGCGAGTTGACATGAACTGTGATATACCTATGGACGAGTTACAGATGTATGGCTCCGCTATATGGCTCAACTGCCCTGAAGAAGTCATACCGAAGAAGATTAGAATAGGCAATGGGGAGATCGAGGTCATCATTTTTGTGTTCAAGAGAGCCATAGTTCTCGTGGGCTACAACAGGGAGAAAAATAGGAGTAAAAAGCGATCAGTGAGTCATAACTGTTTGCAATTCAGATAATTATTTCAATTTGGTCTATCTGTATTTTAAGCTCCCCGTTTTCTGAATACGACCATTTTCAAACAATTTTCAATGAAAATTGTTTACTTTTGCAATGCATCTGGGATTACTTTCTGGCAAGCTGAAAACGGCATTAACTGAGATTTTTTAAAACATTCTTCTTCGCAGATGCCGTCCAAAGAGTCCAAATTTGAAGAGGCAGTCTCAAACGTGCAGTTTCTACTGCCCATCTCAGCTGTGGAAGTGCATGGGTCTGTAAACAGAGAACAAGACCGCCTGTTCCTGTGGGACTTAGTCGTCCACAGGGGAGCCCAGACTCAGGTGGGTTGCTGTTCACGCCAACATGTCCTCTAAAAATCATAATGCAATTAGTCAAATTACCATAATTTTGAGTTTATGATTGATGTCAAATTACCATTGAAGTTGATTTTTATCATAACTCTCAAGATGTTTAAACTACACTACATCGCTTTTGATCGATGAAACGAACGAATGATCCGTGACAAAAACAAATGGCCTTAAAATTGTCATCTGAAGTTCAATTTGAACATTAATTTATTAGATATAAAACCATTATAAAAATTGTAGGTATTTCATGTTGTAAATGGGTCGATAAACGAGATAAAGGCAAGCAATATTTCCATAGTTATGACAAATTTATTTTATCTATTTATGGAGGGTGCGTACTAATCATTAGACCACATGTTATTTGGTAAAACTTGATCTAACGGTTAGAACATAATCTGTTGTTTTTATAGGTGCTGAGAATGGCGAGTAGGGCTCTGAACACAAAGGAGTCGTTTCTCAGGGCCATTCGCTCTTCAATTCGCGAAACTCAAAGATTGAATGCGAGCAAGACGAGACGAAGCGTGAGTCGTGTGTCGGAAACTGCAGTACCCAGATCCCTGTAAGTAAGCACATGTTGACATATGTTGCTAAAAAGAGAAGCAGAGGCAAATTCTGTAGCAACGTCGTTGTTTAATCAAGTTCGATAACTTCTGAGTCTGAATCGTTGTTTAAGCAAGTTCGATAACGTCGTTGCTTAAGCAAGTTCGATAACTTCTGAGTCTGACCCGTTAGAATCACAACCGACTGTATCCTCTAGCAAATAAATGCAATTAGGTGTTCAGAAATTTCGGGGGGGGGGGGGGGGGGGGAATTATCCTCTTTATTCATTGAAGCTTGCTTGAGTGCTGCTCAATTTTCGATTAAGAGAACAAAAAAAATTGAAAATGTTATAACTCAGATCAAAATTTTCAAAATCAGTTCATTTTATTTTTTAGAAGCCAGAGCAGCTACAACAATAACTCAATCCAGCCTTACAACAACGCTGTGTTCAACACCGATTGTGACACACCCGTAAGACGATCTCACTCGCCCGGAACCTCCCCTCACCAACTGCCCCACCCACAACAGCAACAGCAGCAACCCACGAAACCGCAGCGAACTCAGTCGTCAATCAGTCCGGACCGGCTGGCCAACCTGAGAATAAAACCCAACATGATGAGTCATCAAGGAGGTCCTCCGATGCTACAATCCCAGTTTTCGACGACAAGCAATCACGAGACGGGCGCCTTTCCCATGTTTGACCTCAACTCAATGATGCAAAGTAACAGTAACAGTTCCTCGTCTTCAATCTCGTGGGCCACTCAGCAACAAGCTTACTCGCCGGCCAATGAGAACAAAGGACATCAAGCCGACTCGGGAATTTTTTCAGACGACAACAACGAGCACTCTATGAATACAATGCTAGCAACTACATTAGAACTGTTTAATCCTAGACAATGAAACAAATCAAAACAAATTATGAAATGATTGTAAAAAAATTCAACATTTTCGGCAATTTTTGTAAATGACAATGTTTAATGATAAATTATCAGTTTTGTAGCAAGAAAATGTGTAGCTTGGTTTTAATGTTTTACATTAAATTAAAGAACCTGAAACTTTCATGTTTGCTAAAGTCCTGAGTCTGTTTCGAACTGCTTAAACACCAGCTAAGAATGCGATAGGAACCATAATAAGAATAAGTTTGTGTTCCAAACGATATCTAGGTAAAGTTCTATAAAAAAAACTACAAACATTAATTTGAACAGTATGGCAGAACACCATTAAGTCAGCACCGCCTGTTTTCAGGCGTCTCATCCAGCGGAGAACCAAAATCTATTTTCGTAGATCCAATTTATCGTTCTACTGGTAAATTTTCATTAAAGGTACACCCTTTTATACCCTACTTTCAACCCTTTTCATTGAAAATTTAATTTTCTTCTCTTGGTAGACGTCATCCATAAACTAGAAACTAACAGAAACAAGTTCTATAAATTCTTATAAAATCTCGAAACATGCCCAATAAAGTCAAGTTTTCTGGAATATAGAAAATTTATGAAAACTTCCAAATATTTATAATAAAAACTGTTCAATCGATTGAGAGAAGCCCTTACCAAAAAGGAGAGAAAACAATTCCTTATTAAATAATATTTGAATTTAAGATCTAAGCAACCCTGTGTTGAGTTCAATTCTATTTAGACTTAAGTTTTAATTTGATTTTCTCGTATATAGCGTGCTTAACTGTGGCGCAGTTTTGGCATATCTCTCGGGAGCGATCTTACTTGTCGAGTTATTTTCCAGGTTAATTTTAAAGTTTCGTACGTCAAAAAAACTCTGACGGTACTAATTTTAATTTCATCCATATTTCAGTAATTGAATCCATCCTGCGTTTATAAAAAACTTATTCCAAATAATCTTCTGATTTTCATTTCCAGTTTAACGATTTGGTTTCGTCTGTGATTGCATAAACTAAAGCTCCATAATAGATGACTGGATGATGTTAGTTTTTGTTAGCCACTATAAATTGCTGTACCTTTAAAAACACTGTCATTTAAAAAAAACTTCTCCACAGAACAGAAAAACTAAATTTCTATTTGATCATTAGGCTAATGAAAACCCAATTTGATGTCGAGATGAATTCCACTTTATTTAAAACCTGGCTGATGTATGGGTGATTTACAGTCTGCTTTTTGTGGATTTAAGAACAATCTCATCTGCGTACAAAGTTGCCATTGTGTTATGTGACTATTTGATGAAAACTTATGTATAAAAGTATAAATTTGGTCCAAGAGTGAAAACCTGGATACTCCGAAACTTGAGAGTTTAAATTCGGTCTGAAAAGAACTTGTCTCAATGTACTGATGAATGTTGTCAAGATCACTTTCCAAAAGTTTCAGCACAGGCTTTCTCATTCAAAAAAAAAATTTTAAATAGCAATTCAGAGTTATCAACTGTATCAAACGTTTTAGTGAGATCTTGATAAGTATACCAAATAGTTGGCTTTTGGTTCTTTAACGATGATAAAACCTCTTCCAACAGTGTGATGATGACGTTGTCAACAAGGTACCTTTTTGATTTGAAACCAAACTGGCCCACGAAACTGATATATAATTCTGAGCGTCATCGAAGTTTCCTCCCTCAAATTTTGAAGGTTTCTGCACTTTGTAAATACTTTAGCTAGGCTCCTGGTCTTACGCAGTAATTAGATGCTTTGGTCAGAGGACGTGCTATTTAATTTTTTTTTAATTGTGTGACGAGAGCATTTTTGAATTCATTTAAATATGTAAATCATTAAATGTTTAGATTTTCGATGACTTTAATGACTTCAAAAAAATCAGTTTTTTAACTGAAAAAGGACAACTGCGGCTGATGGATTACACTCTTTTTCGAAAAAGATGTTTTTTTTGTGCAAGTCTTGCGCCAGTATTTGCAAACTAATTTTGATGATCTGAGAAATCCTGGAAGATAAAACTCGTAGTTTAAAAATTTAGAGAGTGGTTGTTTGAAATTACCTGATCTGCTAAGCGTATGCAATTGATTAAGAATTAATTCTATTTTAATTGCAGTCGCTTTATCAACTGAGTTTCAGCAACTATCACAACCAGTCAACTTTTTGGAACAATGTGTTTAGTTCCATCCAATAGGTTATGCGGATTTTTGATGGTTTTAATTTTAGCGAGTTTGGTTGAATTTTCATACAGTTGATTACAATTTTCTGATTTCATCTCCTTTTTTGACCACTGACAAAATATTTTTTGTAGTTTTTTTTTGCTTCCGTTTTTCATGTTCGGTCCAGTGTTGATATAGATGCCAATACCCCTTATTGTCTTAACTCTAGCACAATTATTGAGAAAATTGTATTTTTGAACTTGAAAGATCTTCTTGTGAGAACTTTGTAAAGCCAACTGCCAGTTAAATAGATAATTTATGGAGATTAGGCAAATTGCTCTATTTCTATTTCATAATATTCAAAAGATCGGATGAAAGGTCTCGTGCGTTTTAGACACTGAGAAACTTTTCTTTTATGTCTTTGTTAACAAAAAAAACGCTGTTTAACATATTTTTACTGTTTGGCTTCTTTACTTAGCTGAAAAAGTTTAATATAGCGAAGATCTTCCTTTTTTGTAATTTAGTTTTCTCAACTCTAAAAGAATCATAATAGTCATTTTTGTTTGTGGAATCCGCTTATATGGCTTGTCAAAATGTAACCAAGCCAGGGCAGAGATTGCACAAATGTTAGGTGGTTTCATCTTTTTGCTTAAGTTTGTTGTTTTTTTTGTGCACTAAAACGAATATCGCAAAGTTTTAGGTACAAAACGCGAATTAGATTCTTTCATCCCCTTCATCGCTTCCTTCTCTTGTTTCTTGCCTCCCAATTTTCTCATTCAGTTTTTCTTTCTTTGTTGTAAATAGCTGGTCGTTTATACCATCGTCATCTTAAGATCGTAAAGCAACGCTGAAAATACACATGCACTGAGAACTACAAAAAAAATTCAGTTTGAGTTTCATAAGAAGAACGTTATTCAATAAATATGACCATTGAGAAGCCCCACAATTACACAAACTGTTTTATGGTCTTGCTTAAAATACTAATTGGGCCGTTTTCCTATTATAAATTACAGTATCGCAGCTGGAAACGCACACAGACTGACCTGAAGAGGTTTTGTTGGAAAACTGATTTGTTTTGTTCCCTCAGATAGCCTACCTAAAAAACTGAAAGCTAAACGAAATAAAAGTTTGATACTTAGAAGAAGACAAAAAGAAAAAAAGAACAAGGATAGCCGGTTGCCGTGCAAGTGGCACAAAATGATTCGTCTGAAGCCTCAAAAAAAATCAATTTTTTTTTTATTTAAAAATTTTTTTTTGCGTGTTGTCATGAAAGTATCTGAAAACAATATTGTTCGGGCACATTTGATACTTGTAGTAAAATAAAACAAGTGAAAAAAAATTTTGAAGAAAAATGACCCAACTGTTCGCTGATTTTTTGACGTTTTTGAATTTTTGAATATCAAAGTGGCGTTAAAAACTCCAACCAATTTTTTCTTACTAAAGTAAACTTAAAATTAATTTTGAATGGGCTGGGTTGTTGTTAAATGCTTAATTTACGCATAAATAAGCATGCTCGCTCGCATTATTCGGTTGATACTAAACAAAAACCTATGAAATTCAAACCGGTTTTTTCACGACACTGAAATTATGGGAAATTGTATCAAGAAAATTGAATCAAAACTGCAAGGGTGTCAATTTGGGATGATTATATGAGACACCTGCTGTTGCGTGGAAATAAAAAAGAAAAGCAACTAAAACAGACTAGATTACAATTTTCCTTAGCATCGGATCAAAAAAAAATGGTCACTTTTTTCCTTAAGTATTTTAGAGTGTAATACTAGAGTAATAAAGTTTTTTTGTCATAATTGAAACCACCCAGTTTGGATTAAATGGCAATTCATTTAATTTCTTAATCATTTTTTCTCAGATATTAACACGCAGCCCACATTTTCCGTTCAGTTTCTTCTCAATGAGACAATTTTTGTTTGCAGGGGATTTCCTCATACTGTTGTCATGACGAGAGTCGGTGTGGACTCCTTTTTTTGTTTAACAGCATCATCGTGGACAAGCACTGACACAATAGGGCTTTTTACCAAGTCCATTCCATGGACCGCTTTCCTATTTGCTGCCAGTTCTTCGGGAAGCTGTTCCGTATGTATATGTTAAATCTGTTAATATTGTTTTCCTGGTAGATTAGATTCCTTGTGGTCTTGTAAATAGCTAGTTTACTGGCGGATAAGATAAACTTGAAGATGATAGTGGGCATAAAGTTTCTTTAATTCCTCAAAAATATGAGAAGATTATTAATTCCCACATAATGTCAAGTGTGGCATCCGTGACCTCTGTTACTGCCCCCTGAATCGAACGTTGAATTCAATTGATTTTCTGGTATATCTTTCAGTACTCGCAGCCTGGTACTTATAGTTATTTGACTCTGTTTCTGATGCTTAGTTTTTTACTTTTGTTTTTCATTTTTTTCCCACAAAAATAACAGTTCCGATTCCAAGTTAGTCTTAATTTTGCCTCCCGTAATTGTACTTGCGGATACCTACCGGGTAGCATTTACCCCCTGATGCTGGTTTTTACTACAAATTCCCATCATAACCATAAGATGTGATAACGAAAATGTGATAACAAAAAAAAATTATATATATAATTATATATATATATATATATATATATATATATATATATATATATAATAAATTGCTTTTTTTAGTTGCATTTGCTTTGGAGCTGATCAGAGTTTTCATGAATTTATATTGAAGTCATTACGCAAATTTAAGGTTATGCTGTTTCTATGATACAATTTGTAGCGAACTTGTGGCTGGAATTATATCTTGTAAAGATTGTTATTTCACAGAAACAAATAAAAACCAAAACAATGTCCAATGTTTTGCAAAAGTTGCTAATTGCAGTTTTAACAAGTGAAATCAAACGCTTAGGTTTTTTAAACGATAAATAACGATCTTAAAAGACAAAAATGATGAAATTATAAGAATTATAAGAATTACAGAATTATAATGACTTGAAAGTTAAGTCATTGGACAAGCTGCTCTCTCGCATGGTACATA